ATATCTTTTCTGTTGAATTTGACAACAATTTTTTTTTTTTCAAGACTGAATAAACTGCATTTTACCTATATTTATAGAAAAGAAAACTAATGATTTGGATATTATTAGTTAAAATATCTTTTGATATGATTGCTTTTAATTTTTGGAGATTTTTATTCCTTTTTTTTTTTAATTTTCTTTGAAGGTAAATAGATTTACATGTCTTTATATAATGTCTAAAGTCTTTTATTTGTCCTTAAATTTCTGATTGCATCTTGTATGTTCCTAGAAAATTTTAAAATTTTTAATTTATCCTTTCCATTAAAGTTTCCTACCATGGGCAAATTTGTTTTTTACCAAAATGCCTTTTATTGACATGTGAGAAAAAACACTTAAAGTTACATCACATGCTTGCTCCCTTTTTGAAGTCTTGAGATTGTATTTTTTTTTTTTTTTTTTTTTTTAAATCAAGATGAATTTGATCAAAATAATCCTATGATTATAAAAATTTGTCATAAGGACATGTTGAAAATTTTAAAAAAGTTAGGGATAGATGGGAGGCTATAGGTATTATATGAGAATAAATTAATCTATTTACGAATTTTGCTTAAAATATCTTTTGATGTGATTACTTTGTATTTCTAGAGAATTTTATTCCGTTTTCTTATTCTCATTTATAGAATGTTGATAATGAGGCTTTAATGCCATGGCATGCAATTTTTTTTTTTTTGGGCATCAAGGTATGTAATCAATGGGAGACTGTAGGTATTATATGGGAACAAAATGATCAATTTGCCGATTTTGGTTAAAATATCTTTTGATTAGATTACTTTGTATTTATTGTGATTTTTATTCCTTCTTTTATTGTCATTTATAGAATATTTATAATGAGACTTTAATGCTATGAAATTTTTTTTTCTTTTTTTATTAAATAGTAAAGGCTACCCCAAACTAGCTTGCACGTCAATCGAGACAAAATTCCATCCTTGAGCTACCTTAAGGATACAATACTTACATTAATCGAGTGTATTTGGAAAAGTTTGATAAATTTTGTCGGATGCTAACTCTGAAATTTGAAACCCTATATGTCAATGAAGCTAACATATATTGTTAACTTCGTGATCTACTATTACAATTATAAAGAATTATTTTAATTTTTAATTAAAAAAATAATTTTTTTTAAATTTCAAATAAATGCTAAAAAATGATTTGCTCGATTAGAAAGTCTATTATTTCAAAATACTTCTTTGTATAATTAAGTTATATACTTATGCCTTCTTACGATAAGTTCATAAAGTTTTAATATATAATAAATCAATATAAATTATTAATAAGGAGGAAAATATAAATATTAAGTCGCTAACTTTTAAGACTTAGACATAAAGTAAAATGGAGATCGAAAAATGTAGACAAAAAAGTTTGTCTTAAAACAAGCGTTAAGACTCAACCTTAACCAACTAACTTAATTGAATGTAAGCAAATCATATGAAAAAAATAAAAACATTAAAAAAAAAACTAATAGCTAATTGATAACTTGTTAGGTGTGATTATACCAGCACTAATGCATCGGATCCCATCGAGCTTTAAAGTTAAACGTGCTTGCACTAAAATGGGTTACCTCTTGGGAAGTCCTCGTGTTGCACCCTTTTTTTATGCCTTTTTTTTAACATAAGTCAAAAAATATTTCACCGTTTATGAGAAAACCCTAATCCTGTCTTAGCCATGAACTCCAATAGTCGATGGTAGATCTACCACCTCGGGATCTCCCATGGGGAGACTCCTCTTACCTTTTCCCCTACCTCTATCTCTCTTCTTATCCTATCTCTTGCCCCTCTTTCTTAACCATTTGAGGTTGATCCTCCACTAGGAGATGCCACAAACAGTCTCACACATCCCCACATCGACTCTCTTACTCGACCTTATAAGGTTGCTCTTTCATAAGGAGTGACCAAAAACAACGTTACATAGCCCCCTCACATAAACACTATTTTAACCTATGCAAAGGTTATCCCCTTTAAACCCTCTACTCGTCCCTCTCAAACCATACTAAACCATCTTCAATTCTTGATGCATCCGTTACCACTCATCAAGCTGAATCTCAAGACTCGCTTTCCTACCATTGACATTAATCCTAAGTCCCCTTCATTTTTTGAAGGAGAACCGAGTGTGGTTTTTTAGATGCAGAGTTACAACAATCTAAAAAAAAATTCCAATTCTCCTCAGTGGCAAAATTCTCTAAGGGATGTCCCCCGATTAACAACATTCATAAGCATGTTCAGCAATATCGGGGGTTAATCGAAACTCCCGTGATTGGACTCATTGATCCTCTTCATATGTTCATTCATTTATGTCGGAAAGTAGATTTTATCAAGGCTTAGACTCGGGTTGCTCATCTTATTGGTAACTCGTCCATTTCATTTATTCAAATGGGATTCATTCTTCAACACAAAAGCTGAGTCTCCAATGGTGGTGGCCTCGCCCATCTCCTTCTTCCCCGTTGCTTTGTTACAAGAAACTGTAAGACCTTTTAGACATCTCTTACGTCCAGATTAAAGAACAAGATCTGGTTCTCACCCGATGCAAGCTTGAGTGTGTGTTGAAGTTGACTCGACAATTCTTATCCCTCCTAGAATATGGATATCGGATGGTACCGATAGAAAAAAAGGCTTACGGCAACCTATATTAGTGGAGTCCAATGTTGCTTTGTATCACAATTGTATATTACAAGGCCATTTAATACACAATTATCGCAAGCTTCTTAAGACCAAGCTACGATCAATTCCATAGATACACCATATTACTCATGAAAGGTAGTCTCGTCCAGTCGAGGATAGAGAAAGTATGACACATATTACACTATAAAAAAACAAACTTTAGCGACAGAATATTCCATCACTAAACACCCCGATTCTCGTAACTATTCATGAATAGCGATGAAAAATATTTCATCACTATTTCGTTTGTCGCTAACTTTTTATGATGGAATACTCGATCCTTCATAATATTTAGTGATGAAAAATCCATCGCTAAATTGAAAAATCTATAGCTAATCTTATCGTTGAATCGATCATTTTGTTCGTGGCTAATTTATCACTATCCCATCGCTAATTTTGAAAATAAATCCATCGCTATTCCATTGCTAATTTTGAAAATAAATCCATCGCTAGTCCGTTGCTATTCCTTCGGTCACTAATTTTGAAAAACGAAATTGTCATCAATTTGTCATTAATTTTGCAAATGATTTTTCCGTAATTTTGTTGCTTTTGTTGACATTTTTTGAAATTAAATTATTAATATGACATTTAATAATTAATATTTAATAATATACAATTATAACTAATCTTGTATATATGAAAAATAAAATAATATTAACAAAATCATTCTAGAATACGTTTCATAAAAAAAATAACAAAACAAACAAAATGACTAAATATTATATCACTCATCTTATTCGTTTAATCCTATATCCTCATCCTCATACTTGTGTAAATGACTCGACTAGAGGATCGACCTGGAGGCTGAATTAGAGGCTGAGTGGAAGGAACGATCAAATTATTATGCATGTTATCTTATTTCAATTTTAATAATTAAACTAATAAAATTACTTATAAAATTTACATTCGAAATAACAAAACTATGTCAAAAATTATATAATTTCAACCAAATTTAACTAAACTACACCAAAAATTTTATAATTTCAAAATTAAGTTTAAACAAACAACTAACCAAATTAACCTAACACTAAAAATAAATAAATAAATATATAATTAATTCGCTTAATTAAAATAACAATTTAAGATTAAATAATTAAATTTTAATCTAACAACTAAAAATTAACAAAATTTAAATTTTTAAGGTTTACGTTAACATACAAATTAACCTAACAATTAACATAACAACAAACTAAAACTTAACAAAATTAATCTAACGAGTTATAAAAATAAAATAACAACTAACAAATTTAAACTACTATAAATAACTTAACATAACAAGAAATTAACATAATTAGAAAATTAACAACATTCAAATAATTAATAAACTAACAAATAACAAAATTTAACAAAATATTTATAACATTTATCTAATTAAAAAAAACATAAGAGTTAGAGAGAAAGTTTTACTCGATAGATCAAGGATAGAGAACATAGATCCGATATGATTTTGAGGAAGAAAGATAACCCTCACTTTGTTGAATGGTTTTGAAAAAGATTTAGTAGTGTGGAGCGAAGTTGGAGGGCGTTTTTGTGGGTGGTGACAAAAGGGGAGGTGTGGTGGAGGTAAGGGAAGCAAATGGAGAAGAAGAAGAAGGGGTATATATAAAGAAAAAATAGCGATGGATCCGCTTCCGTCTCTAATCCGTCGTTGATTAGCGATGGATTACAAGTCCATCGCTAATCCGTCACTAATTAGTGACGGATTACAAGTCCGTTGCTAATTTGGGGGAAATTTCACCCTAAATTCTCAAAGTTTAGCGACGGATCTCGGTGAGGTAGAGACGGACTTAGCATCCATCGCTACTCGATTAGGATTTTAAGAGGAAATTTCCAATTAAAATCTCAACCCTTAGCGATGGACTCGGCGTCCGTCGTTAATGTTGAGCCATTTTGGGGGAATTTCCTCCCAAAAGCCATAAATTAGTGATGATTTTGAAATTAGTCACTAACTTTAGGCCATTTTGAGGGAATTTTCCTAAAAAAGACACAAAATAGCAACAAATGTTAATTTTAGCAATGGATTCCAAAATATGTTGCTAACTTCACTAAATTTCAAGAATTTTAGTGATGAAATTTTTTCCATTTAACAACCACAAAGCCGTCGCTAATTTGTAATCGATTTTGGTGCTTTTTTTCTCCGTCTTATGTACCAATGAATTTTTCATCTTCGCTAATCATCCATCGTTAGTCCATCGCTAATCCATCGTAAAACATAACCTTTTATAGTCCATCACTAATTTGTTGTTAAATAGCGACGGATTAAAATCCAACGTTAAATTTCATCGCTAATTGATTTTTTTCTAGTAGTTTAATAAGAAGGGCATACGACAACATTCTTACGGGAGCATAACAAAATTCAAAGACAATGAAGATTGTCGGCTCTCAAATAGGGTAATCCCACCTGGCTTTATTGTTAAAGATAAAGGAGTTCTTAAATCTCTTCCCATACGGTATTCCTTTAAGCCAGTGCCATGCTTCGGGTTCGAAAAGAGGGGTAAGGGACTAGACAAGTCTCAAATATGTTCAAATTTTCATCCCACTATTACCGATAATAAGAACGAGAGATGTACAAGGATTCAAAAGTTATCTCAAAAGAAGCTAGTATCCATTTCAGCTGGGGAATACAATTCCATACAAAGAAAAGTGGATGATCAAGCTTTTAATGTAGGTGGACATGTTACAACCAATATCAATTCCATGGGTCTTCATAAAGATAACACTAGAAGCTACCTTATTCTACATAGTTATTCGACTATGCTAGTGTATAATTTTTATTATTTCACAAGCATCTACCGATTATGGATCATAGGAAGTGAGTACAATTTCTAAGACTAATAAGGAGTATAGTGTCGTGCATCAAAAGTTGATATCACATGCGGATAAAAATTTGAAGCAAGATTCTCACGTAATGGATGATGAGGATAATTTAATGTGCATAAAATTTATAAACCCCACACTCAAGTCGGATGGCACGTATGCAAAGGACCAGTTTGGAACTATTGGAACTATTGATATTCTAGTATTAATGTCGCTAGGAGCTATAGTACCATGCAAAAAGACATAGATTTCCTTCCTCATGGGCATATTTATTCCTTATCATGAATTATGAACGGGAGAAGTTTAGGGGATTCCTTATAGATGGTCGTAGATACTCTACCTGGGGCTTCAAACACGGACGTGATCGGGGAGATAAACTCCAATTTAACTAGTAAAGTGGATTATACAATAACTATTAATATTATAGATCACACTATCAACATAAAGGTATGAATACGAGAGGTTGCTTCGGGATCAAGTTCTATGTTAGCAATTTCGGAGGCTTCCTATGTGCCTTTTGTTCAAGCTATTCCTAAAAATATAAGTGCCATTGAGCATACTAAAACTGGTCATCTTCACCAACATACGGCTAACTCATCTAACGAGATAACTCGTCTCTCCTCTTACCTTAGTTGTAACTCAGAAAATGACAACTATAAATTCATTTAGTTCCATAGATCACGAGGTTTGGGGTGATGGGGCGTTAACCTCTTAATTGGATACCGATCTATCTCCTAATGTGGTTTTAAAAGGAGTTGTGGAGAAGCAACAATGGTTATCATCGACCTTCCAAAACCGAATACAAGCTATGGAGTTTTAGGGGAAAATGTTATCTAAAAAAAAAGGTTGTTTTGGTGCAACTTAATAGCAGACGTGTAACAAGGTCCGAGCGAGACCATAATGGCAAGCCTTTTTTTGCTCTACCTAATGATTAGTCTCATTTGGAATATTAGAGGCATTTGTGCCTCGGATAAAAAGAGATATTTGAAACATTTGGTTGCTCACCATCAAATATCGTTTTTTGTTCTCTTAGAGCCTAAGCAATCAAGAGAGAAGATGGCTAAACTAGCTAAGGCTTTCGATTTCTCTAGTTTTCTTCATGGTAACCCAGTTAACCGAGCATATTTAGATACTATGGAAGGATAGCTTAGAGGTGAATATCCAGGCTGTATGTTTCCAAACTATTATCATTACAATAAGGGATACACTTTTTACAAAAACCATATACTATACTTGCTATTTACGTAAGCTATGATAAGGCGAAAAAAGGAATCTCTAGGGCTACTTGCTGGCTCTCAATATCAATCTCCCATGGATATTAGGAGGTGACTTTAACGTGATAGCAAACTCAACCGAAAAGGTAGAAGGTGCACAATTATAAATAGTTCTATGTTCGATGCTTGATTTCAACACTAATATCAACTTGCTTGGGGTTCATGATGTTGGATACTCGGGAAGTAAATACACATGGTGCAATAATCAAGAGGGTTCTACTCATGTCTAGAAAAGACTAGACGAGTGTACTAGTAAATACTATAACAATTGCCCTCATTCCTAGGCTATCTTGCACGCTCCTAGCCCGTATACATTCGAACCACTATCCATTGCTTTCACTTGGTTGTAGATAACCCGGGACCTATTAGGTTTTTTATTATAAAAATATGGATAGCTTATGATAGTTTCCAATCCTTTGTGAGCAATCACTGGAAGTCATCCTTTAGCAATAGTTTGTTTCTAAATCTACACTTGAAACTCAAGCATCTTAGACATGAACTTAAGGCGTGGAACTGGATAGTTTTTTAGGATATTAAACGAAGGTAAACACTGCTTTTGATAAGCTTATTCAAATGGAAGCAGACTTATAAAACTCATGGAGTCAAGAAAAACTCGATAAGGCTCTAGCGACTAAAGACAAACTAACATCATTAATAGAAAAAGAGGAACAACTAGTGTAAGAAAAATCAAGAGTGAAATGCCTATAAATAGATGACCATAACTCTACCTTCTTTCATGTTTGTGTGCGAAATTGAAGGCTCCAATCCTATCTTTCTCTAACACTCGCATAATGGTTCAATTTGTAAAGATGAAGACTAGATAGGTAGTGCGAGTTGTTGATTACCTTCAGAATATCTTTAAGAGTGATACGACCATGATGGATGAAGACTTTCTTAGCATCCTACCTTCCATGGTAATCGATGCTCAAAATGAATCCTTTATGAGTATACCTCGGGAAAAAGAAATCCGAGAGGTGATTTTTGAACTTAATGAGCTCGGTGCTCCTGGTCCGGATGATTTTACAGGATCTTTTTGCAAAGCATGCTTGGAACACTACCAAAAATGATGTGGTGCTTGTGATACTAGATATCTTTCGTGAAGGAGAGATTATAATAGGATTCATTGCAACTTCTTTGGTTTTGGTTCCAAAATGTCCAAATCTTACCAACTTTGTAAAAATATGCCCAATCAATCTCCGTAACTTCACATACTTGGATTATATCTCGGATCATCACTTCTCATCTAGGTGTCATGCTCTCATCTCTAATTTCCAAAGAACGATCGAGTTTCATTAAGGGTAGATGCATCCGGGAGAGTGCGGCCTTAGTCGAGAAGTTATTTAATGATATTGATAGGAACATTCATGGAGTAATATCATTTCAAGGTGGACATATCGAAGGCTTATGATAGACTAGAGTGGGATTTCCTTATGCGAGTTCCGATAAAATTTACTTCACTAACAAATGGTGTAAGCTGATTTTTAAATGTGTTTCTAACTCGTTGGTACTCCATTCGACTAAACCCCAAGTATTTTGATTTCATTAAATCTACTCGAGGTATGAGACAAGGAGACCCATTGTCTCCATCGTTATTCATTTTAGTGCCGAAGTATTTTCTAGGAAGCTTAATGCTATGATAGCTCGAAGGCTCTCTCACCCCCATCCTATGCTGGTCGCAACCACGGGGTAATTTCTCATCTTCTATTTACAAACGAGATGTTGCTTTTTGGTAATGAGGGAAAGAGAAACATTTATAAGCTACTACTTCTTCTTCATAAATACTCTAGAGCTAGTGGATAAGCTATTAATTTGAGGAAGAGTTCATTTTGATGCAGCAACAAGATCTCACCCAATAGGAAAGCGCTTATCTCCATATGGATCGGCTTCACTATTGCTAATATAGTAATGACTTACTCGGGCATGCCATTATTTAAAGGTAGAGCTCATGTGGAATATTTCACAAGCTTAAGATCAAGAATAATGTTGCAAATTAGAAAGGAAAAGAATTGTTCGCTAATGAGAAACTCTCTTTGATCCAAAGTATCTTAACATCCATATCTTTTACACAATGGGAGTTCTCCCAATCCCAAAGAGTGTTCTAGCTAGAATGCAAAGTCATTTATCGAATTTTTTCTAGAACGAGTGAAGATGACAACAAGCATCATTGGGTTAAATGGGACTCCATTTTAGTTCCATGCCAAGAGGGAGGTTTGGGTGTTAAAAATTTACATGAGGTTCTAAAGGCTATGAAAGGAAAAGCTGGCGTGGGCTTTCCTAACTAGTTCTTCTCTTTGGAGTGACTTTATGCGTTCCAAGTATGAGGAACCTTCTACTCGGGTTACATACAATACGCATAATGGCTCCTTAGTTTGGAAAACTTTTCTTTCTCATATCCATTACTTAAGGGACCATTCGATTTGGGTGATGGGTGAAGGAAACATCGGGTTATAGAACGACACATGGATATAGAATGATCTCTCTCAACTAGTAGGAAACACTAATATCACATGGTGCAAGCTAAGTGTGATCAATCAACATAACTAGCCTTACCTCAACATATTTAAGTGGAATTGGATTAGATATTTATTAAATAGAATGTTAAGGATAAGTTGGTGTATACGGGGTTGAAGTTTAGTAATTTCTCTTCCAGAGACTATTACACAACCATTCATGTATCTCGCTCCAAAATATGAGTGGTGGAGGTGCTTGTGGAATAAATGGTTACCAAAACAATTATAGTGTTAGTCCGAAAAGTGCTTCATAAGGCGAGTTGTATTGATACAAATGTCCAATCCTATGACATCCCGATGCTCTCCAAATTTAAATATTGTAAATTATTACGGGAAGAATAGATCAATCATTTATTTCTTCATAGTGAGACTGCTAAGGAGCTATGGAGTTATTTTAACATATTGCTAGACATACAAGTGGGGCTAAATAATATAGAGCGACTTACTATAAGCTAGCTAATTCTAGGTAAGCTTCTTTCTCAAAAATAATTACCCGCGTGATTATCTTTAATCGTATTATGTGGAAAATTTAGCTTGCTAGGAACAAAGCTATTTTTGATAATGATGAGATGAGTGGCTTTAATATTAAACTCAAGGTCTATATGTGCCTATATGAACTATCCTCATTATTTTAGCCAAGAAAAAGCCTATGCTTTCATGACAAAATTAGTTTACTTAGTTTGGGTGTTTAGGTACAACAAGCAAGAATTAATAGGGGGTGCTAGATCAAATGGTGCTATCCTCCCATAGGTAAGTTTAAGTTAAATACTGATGGAGACTCTAGAAATAATACCTGTAATGGAGGCGGAATCTCGAGAGATGACAGGGGTAACCTTATAGTAGCTTTTTCCAAGTTTTACGATTCCGGAACCAACTTAAAAGTTAAGGCCATAACACTTCTAGATGGATTATATTGGTATGGATATGGATTGTGATGGTTGAAATTAATTATGCAAAGTAATATTATTCGTGTAATTTTATACCTTATTATGGAATAATTACATGAATATTCATGACATGCATTATATGAGTCGATGTTCACTATGCATTACTACTAAAATGCATATGCATGCCTAATGTCATAAAGAATGTTTTTAAGTCATGGAAATGTGTTTTATATCATGGTTTTTTGATAGTGATCGAAAACGTTTTATAGGATATGGTTTTTCATAACTTTGAGGATTTTTATAAGGATGGACTTCATGGGTTTTTCATATGGTAATGGTAATGGTTGAGGATCGAACAAATGCGGATATGCACTTTTAGAGGCTCGATAAGGCGCGTCCATAAATGGGTCTAGTTTACTAGACATATGTTATGAAAACCCTAAAGTACCTAAAAAGGGACATGTCCAAAGATAGAAAAATGATTTTGAGATTTTTTATGAAATGTTTTATGACATGAGAAAAAGGATTTTAATATTTTATACATTCCTATACATACACATACACTACATGCATGAG